CCCCAAACCCCCAAAACCCCAAAACCCCAAAACCCCAGCTATAAATTAGCGAGTTGAAACTTCTTCACAATTAATTTAAAAGAAATTGATGTAAGTTTAGAAAATGAATGTTTCATTTAACATTTCTAATAAGAACATTATCTTGCTTTCATCTCTAAAAGTGGACCTTTAAAGATGAATTCTTCTGTTATGTACTTAAATGTTGAAAAAGAGTAAAAATTTTCTTCCATGAAATTATTCGGTACTAACTTTGCTCTTCAGATCAATTATGAAAAGGAGTACAAAGATTATAAGATACAAAGCTATTGACAAAATGGAACCTCTGCATAGACCTGACACACCTCCAGAGACTAAGAAGCACTTGAAATGGGCTTCTCAAGTCTTAAAGGATCATCAGACAACCTCTGCGGCAGCTCAGAAGATGATAATGAGCGCCAACAAGACCAAGCGAAGGATGACTCATGAAATTAAGGAGGCTAGAAGAGTAATCTCAAGATGGGATGACTACAATACTGACCTTCAAAAAGCATGCACTGCTCTCAACACCCGCCGTATTTTCGCTGACGAGAAGTCTAAAGAACATAGAGCTAAACTTCATGAGGAAAGAGTCAGAAGACTTCACTACACAAGTCCTACGAAATGTTCGATTGTTAAAAGACAGCCGAAGTATGCTCCCTTAGTCACGAAGATCCCTAAAAGTTTTAATGTGTACTAAGCCATTGTCCTTCTTAAGATCTATGCGGCTAAATGGGCTGAGTCGGAAGGATTTTGGGATTAAGTTGTTCTTTAAACTGAAATTTCGTTAATATAATCTTGAACCAAATAAAACAATTAAAGAGGCTTAGAGGCTGACTGGTCGGGAACAGTCCTGGGAAGGGGAATGGGGTGCAAGAGAGGCCTAGAGTAGTGGACCTGGGGGTTATAGAAGAATTTGAAACTTCAGAACGGTTTTTAATGCAGGGTTGGTGAGATTTTAATGTATTAGTTGACTGGAAAAGTTCGGAATTTTTCAATTTTTTCGGAATTACATGGGGTTTTGGGGTTTTGGGGTTTTGGGGTTTTGGGGTTTTGGGG